GGTCTGGCAGCATCTGTGAAGAAAAAATCAGAGTTACCGTTTCGGGTTTGGTGACCCTTCTGGGGAATCAGTTAACGCTGATTTTTTTCTTCACAGATGCTGCCAGACCTGCTGAGCTTTTCCAGCAAGTTTTGTTTTTGTTCCTGATGTACAGCATCCTCAGTTCTTTTGGTTTTTTTAGTTCTCCATCCATGTCAGTACACTACCCCCTATCCCATGCACTTTCATTTTACACACTAATCTCTTATGCGGGATCTTACTGAAAGCCACATTCACTGGCTCCCCCTTAGAAACTTTACTTGTTACATCCAAGAACAATTCCAGTAATTTGTCAAGCATAATTTCCCTTTCCAGAGGAGATTTACCAGGATGTTGCCTGGGCTGGAGAGTTTCAGTTATGAAGAGAGATTGGGCATAGTGGGGCTGTTCCCCTCAGAGAAAAGGAGATTGAGAGAGTTATGATTGAGATGTATAAAATTGTGAGGGACATGGACAGGATAGAAGGAGGGAGTGTTTCGCCTTGGTGGAGGAATCAATGACTGGGGGCATAGATTTAAGGTAAGGGGCAGGAAGTTTAAAGAGGTTGTGAGGAGTTGCTTTATTCACCCAGAGGGTAGTGGCAATCTGAAACTCACTGTAAGGGTTGTAGAGGAAGAAACCCTCATAACATTTATGAAGTATTTAGGTGTGCATTTGTGATGCCAAGGCATACAAGGCTATGGCCTAAGTGCTGGAAAATGGTATTAGAATAGTGGTTGTTTTTCTTAGAATCCCTACAGTGTGGAAACTGGCCCTTCAGCCCAACAAGTTCACACTGACCCACAGAGCATCCCACCCAGACCCATTCCCCTATAACCCACATAACCTACACACCCCTGAACCCTATGGGCAATTTAGCACGGCCAATCCACCTAACCTGCACATCTTTGGACTGCGGGAGGAAACCGGAGCACCCGGAGGAAACCCATGCAGACACGGGGAGAATGTGCAAACTCCACACAGACAGTTGTCCGAGGGTGCAACCAAACTTGGGTCCCTGGCGCTGTGAGGCAGCAGTGCTAACCACTGAGCCACCGTGCTGCCTGGTGCAGACTCGATGGGCTGAAGGGCCTATTCCTGTGCTGTAGATTTCTATGACCATGACTCTATCACACCACCAGGGTTAGACTGACTGACCTGTAGTTTCCTGTTTTATGCCTTCCTCCCTTTTTGAATAGAAGTGCCACATTGGCTTTCCTGCAGTCCTCTGGCACCTGTCATGTGGCCAGAGAGCAATGAAAATGATTGCTAGCACCTAAGCTATCTCCTCCCTTATCTCATTCAATAGCCTGGGATACATTTCATCTGGCCCTGGAGATTCATCTACTTTTAAGACTGCCAGGCCACTCAGAACCTCCTCCCTGTCTCTGCTAATTTTTCTAATTATATCCCAGTCCTTGTCCCTGATTCCAAACCCACATCGCCTGTGAACACCACACAAAGTCTTCACTTAGAACTGTATAGCTACATCCTCCAACTGCATGTGCAAATTACCACAGTGGTCTCTAACAGACCCTACTCTTTCCCGAGTTATGCTTTTACCCTGAATTAACTTGTAAATTAACTCAGGATTTTCCTTTTTGCTTTTTAAAATCCTTTTTGCACATTTGATCCTCCTCTCAGGCTTCTGCTGCTTTATGCCCTTGGTGTCTGTCTGTCCTTTTTCTCCTTATCCAGTCCTTTGTATCCCTTTATAGCCAGGATTTGCTGGGTTACTTGGTCCCACCCTTAATCTTTATCTGAGCATGTAATTGGCCCTGTAATTTCTATTTCCTTCTTGAATGTGTCCCACTGCTCTGATACGCATCTACCTAAAGTAACAGGACCTAATAATCTTGAGTGGGCAAAAATATGGCCAATGGAATTTAATGTGGGGAAATGTGGGTTACACACTTTGGCAGGAAGAGTAGAGTAGGTAAATATTGTTTAAATGGACAAAGACTTTGGAAGACTTCAGTAGAGGAATTATGGAATACATGAATCACAAAACGCTAGCATCCAAGTTCAACAGGCAATCGGGAAGGCAAATGGAATTTTGGCCTTTATTTCAAAGAGTGAAGTATAAAAATGTAAATGTTTTGCTGAAACTATCCAAAGCACTGGTCAGACTACAGCTTGAATATTGTGAACAGTTTTGAATTAGAATTAGAATGAATATGTGTGATTAGATCACATGTATTCAAGTACAGGGATACATGAGTACAGCGAAATGTGTACAAAGTCACCATTTCCGGTGCCATCTTAGGTACAAAGATACTTCGGTACAAAATCTTGCGTATAAATTAGAAAAATAAAGAAATAAAGGTAAAAGTTCAGCATACAGTCTTTCTAAAGCAGGAGTTCGTGCTTTACTGATGAAAAATTGGTCTTAAATACACTTAATGACCCAGTCTCAACAGCCCTCTGTGCTAATTGAAATTATTGAATGATGCTAAATAATGATAGAAAACAAAACAGCAAAAACAATGCAATCTAACGATAGAAAAACAACCATCAGGGCAATTACAAGAAAACAAGGAAAAACAGCGGAAATTGACAACATAGTAACAACTGCCTTTTTAGAATTAAAGTTGTGCCCCTTATCTAAGAAAAGATGACCTGGCATTGGAGACAGTCCAGAGAAGGTTCACGCGGCTGATACTAGGTACAGTGCGACTGTTTTATAAGGAGAGGTTAAATAGATTGGGCCTGTACTCATTGTCATTTAGAAAAGTGAGAGACTACCTTATTGAACCATGCAAGTTTCTTAGGCGCCTTTACAGTGTCAATGCAGAAAGATTATTTCCCTGTGTGGGAGAGTCTAGGACCAGAGGGTTTAATCTCAGAATAAGGGCTCGTACATTTAAGACAGAGATGAGGAGGAATTTCCTGTCTTGGAGGGCAGTGAAGCTGTGGAATTGTTTAGCACAGAGGGCTGTCGAGACTGGGTCATTAAGTATATTTAAGACTGATTTTTCATCAAAGGGAATCAAGGGTTGTGAGGAAAAGGCAGGAAGGTGGAGTTGAGGATTATCAGATTAGCCATGATCTCATTGAATTGTGGAACAGGCTCGATGGGCTGAATGGCCTACTATTGTTGGTCTAGGGCACTGCTAAAGTTGGTTCTGTAAAGAAAAAATTAATTAATTGTTTCCCTCAGGGCTATATTTAGTGACTCTTAGAAACATATTAAACAGCCCAATAAAGATGCTGTCACAATAATGTGACTGGACTTAGATTTAGATTCATTTATTTGTCACATGTACTAAGTACAGGAACACATAAATACAGCAAAAAGTGCACAAAGTTACCATTCACCGGTGCTCACTTAGTTACAAAAACTTAGCGTTAACTAACCAGAAGCTTCTCTGAAGTCAGAGTCAGTTGGGTAATCAACACCTCATGATGGGACTGGAATTCCAACTATTGTGTTATAAAGTGCCACAGAGACTGATTGTTCCTGAGAAGAATATCGTCCTCAATAAAATTAGAAGGTAGCCCTATCCTGTAGCAGACGTGCTTATGTGGAATGCAACTGTTTGTCTCAAAGTAACTGGTTACACCCCTCTTCACTCTGCACACATCCACCAACATGCCCTCCCCTCTGGAAGCTTGATCACATGGTTCCTTCAGTTCTGAACCTTTTAATTCTGCTGTATGTATTTATTTACAGATATATTCAATGATATTGAAACCCCTAATTCCAGGCTACAAAGGAGAAGACTCTGCCATGTAAAAAACAGTTAATAACGTGTTTTTTTGTATAAAAGCAAAATACTATGGCACCTGGCAAACTGAAATTTGAAAAGCACAGAAATTGCTGGAGAAACCAAATAGGTCTGGCAGCTTCTGTGGAGAAAAAAGACGTTAATGCTTCGGGTCAGGTATAACTTGTCAGAACCTGTATGTTGCACTCTCTCAAAGTAATCATCCTTCTTTTGTTAAAGCAGTTAAATAAAAATTACATTTCAGCAATATTAGACAGCATGGTGGCTCAGTGGTTAGCACTGCTGCCTCACAATGCCAGGGACCTGGGTTCAATTTCACCCACATATGAAATTTGCATATTATCCCTGCGCCTGTGTGGTTTTTTTCCAGGTGCTCTGGTTTCCTCCCACAGTCCAGAGATGTGCAGGTTAGGTGAACAGGCCATGGGAAATTGCCCATAGTGTCCAAGAATGAGCAGGCTGGGTGGCTGAGGCATGGGAAATGCAGGGATAAGGTATTTGGGATGGGTCTGGGTGGGATGCTCTTCGGAGGGTTGCTGTGAACTTGATAGACTGAATGGCTTGCTACCACACTGTAGGGATTCTATGAATATTCTTGAGTTCAGCTTATAAGGAATTTTTAAGGGGAATAAATTATCTCTGACTTCTGAACAGCTGGTCAGCCAATCGATCACCATTCATCCTCATTTCATGCTGTGACTTCCGGCCTTAATCATTTGGTCTCCATTTTCAAAATCAAAGACATTGATAAACTGGTATCACTCGGTTTGTTTGCACTTAACTTTTTACTAACTGAACAATCGCCTTATCCTTTTCAATTTAATCCTTGTGCGGCCATGTCAGCATGTATCCGTTGTAAAATATTGCCCACCCCTACACCTGAGAATGTGTGAAATAAACACTATTTCTGGTTAAATTTACAACTTAACTTTATAAAGTCAGAGCCCATCAAAAAGGAGTGAGACAATGTGTTCCCACAAAATCAGAAATCAGTCTGACACACACCCCACCCAAACACTTTGATTCCAGACTCCTTTAAGAACATGTGGTTACCTGGCCCTTTAAGAGTCCGGGTTGATCACGTGCGCTACCACTTGTTTCCGGTGCTGACGTGTTTCCGCCCCGTTGCCGGGGTGATGCTGCAATCCGCGGTCTCCCGGGGCCTGAGCTGCGGCCGAAGGGTCAGGATTCGCGGCGCCAGGGCCTCGGCCCGCACCCCCACCCCGGCCAGCGCGCGAACGGAGAGCCGCGGCCGCCCCGGGAATGGGA